CCATGAACTTTCAGATGTTCAAGCTGGTTTTAGAAGAGGCAGACAAACCAGAGATCAAATTGCCAACATCCACTGGATGATTGAAAAAGCAAGAGAGTCCCAGAAAAACATCTGTTTCTGCTTTATTGACTATGCCAAAGCCTTTGACTGTGTGGATCACAACAAACTGTGGAAAATTCTGAAAGAGATGGGAATACCAGACCACCTGACCTACCTCTTTAGAAACCTGTATGCGGGTCAGGAAGCAACAGTTAGAACTGGACATGGATCAACAGACTGGTTCCAAATAGGAAAAGGAGTACGTCAAGGCTGTATATTGTCACCCAGCTTATTTAACTTATATGCAGAGTACATCATGAGAAACGCTGGGCTGGAAGAAGCACAAGCTGGAATCAAGATTGCCAGGAGAAATATCAATAACCTCAGATATGCAGATGATACCACCGTTATGGCAGAAAGTGAAGAAGAACTAAAGAACCTCTTGATGAAAGTGAAAGAGAATAGTGAAAAACTGGCTTAAAGCTCAACATTAGGAAAACTAAGATCAGGGCATCCGGCCCCATCACTTTATGGCAAATAGATGGGGAAACAGTGGCTGACTATTTTTGGGGGCTCCAAAATCACTGCAGATGGTGACTGCAGCCATGAAATTAAAAGACGCTTATTCCTTGGAAGGAAAGTTATGACCAGCCTAGACAGCATATTAAAAAGCAGAGACATTACTTTGTCAACAAAGGTCCTGTCTAGTCAAGGCTATGGTTTTTCCAGTGGTCATGTATGGATGTGAGAGTTGGACTATAAAGAAAGCTGAGCACCAAAGAATGGATGCTCTTGAACTGTGGTGTTGGAGAAGACTCTTGAGAGTACCTTGGACAACAAGGAGGTCCAACCAGTCCATCCTAAAGGAAATCAGTCCTGGGTGTTCATTGGAAGGACTGATATTGAAGCTGAAACTCCAATACATTGGAAAAGACCCTGATTCTGAGAAAGATTGAGGCCAGGAGGAGAAGGGGACAACAGAGGACGAGATGGTTGGATGGCATCACCGACTCAATGGACATGAATTTGGGTAAACTCTGGGAGGTGGTGATGGACAGGGAGGCCTGGCGTGCTACAGTTCATGGGGTCACAAAGACTCGGACACTGAGGGACTGAACTGAAGTATGTAAATGCTAAATTTATTTGTACTGGTTTAAATTGTTATTACTCATTGTTCAAAATAAAAATGTATTACATAATTGTTAAATGTAAAAGCAAATTGTTAGTCAGACACTGTTACAATTTACAGATACTAAATGTCAACTATTTGATCCTCACAAGAACCCCATAAAGTAGTCGGCTTACTATCCCAATTTTGCAGAAAAGAAAATGGAAACCCAGAGAAACTAAGTAAGTTTCTCAAGGTCTCATATAGGTAACAGCAAAGCTCAGCTTCAAACTATGCATTCTGGTTTGAGAGTCATCATGCTTCTGTCAGTTACACTCACTGTAAAAAACGTGGGACAACAGGCCCATTGTAGATATCCCATCAGATAGAATGACCTCAAGTCTACTTATGCTTTGCATTTTTATGAACGTTAAGTGTAAGAAACTTTGTTCACATGAACGGGTGAGTTGAAATGGAGAGTAGAACTCTAGTACCATCACACAATCCCTTGACATTCTTCTGAGTTATATTCCATGTTACGTAGTGACCTATAATCAAAAATTGTTTTTAATGACTTATCAGCTGACAACTCAGTTAGATCCTTAAGTTTTATTGAAAGCAAAGAATTGACTCAGTAAGGTTTTATTACCGTCATCCATCATTCACTTTCTTAACTCACTTCCAATTGATTGAATTTTTCCTTTAGCAACTCATGTTTATATGCCAGGGTAAAGCACCTTAGTACCATTCAGTCTTAGGTGGGGGAGATGACAGACATCCCTTGATTCTATAAAGCAGAAGGTTCTATTAAGAAGGCTGGTGTGTCGAGGAAACCAGATCTGAAAGAGACATGTGCACCCCAGTGTTCATCGCAGCACTGTTTATAATAGCCAGGACATGGAAGCAACCTAGATGCCCATCAGCAGACGAATGGATGAGGAAGCTGTGGTACATATACACCATGGAATATTACTCAGCCATTAAAAAGAATTCATTTGAATCAGTTCTAATGAGATGGATGAAACTGGAGCCCATTATACAGAGCGAAGTAAGCCAGAAAGATAAAGACCATTACAGTATACTAACACATATATATGGAATTTAGAAAGATGGTAACGATAACCCTATATGCAAAACAGAAAAAGAGACTCCGATGTATAGAACAGACTTGTGGACTCTGGGAGAAGGCGAGGGTGGGATGTTTCAAGAGAACAGCATCGAAACATGTATATTATCTAGGGTGAAACAGATCACCAGCCCAGGTTGGGTGCATGAGACAAGTACTCGGGCCTGGTGCACTGGGAAGACCCAGAGGGATCGGGTGGAGAGGGAGGTGGGAGGGGGGACCGGGATGGGGAATACATGTAAATCCATGGCTAATTCATTTCAATGTATGACAAAAACCACTGCAATGATGTAAAGTAATTAGCCTCCAACTAATAAAAATAAATGGGAAAAATAAATAAATAAAAAAAAAGAAACATTAAAAAAAAAAAAAAGGCTGGTGTGATCAGGCTGGTAGGACAAAAGCTGGCATGTCCATCAGAGATATATTCTCAGATCAGTTTTAAGGAAAAGGTACATGGAAGTCAGAGATTTGAAACTGTATTCCCTTATGTGTTATTCAGCCTCTCATACCCCTTGGCAAGTCTTCATATCCTCTAATTCGAAATTCACTGGGTTTGAATATAAAATACTACGGTCTTCTTGGAAGGTAGTTTGGAGATAACATTTAAAAATGTTAAATACACAAAAACTTTGACCTAGAAACTCAATATAAATATTTCTAGAGGTGCAAATGAATATATTACAAGGTGTTTTATTGCAGCTTGATTTATCATGGCAACAAGTAAATAATTCCATGATAGTCAATAGAGGACTGGTTAATCTAATATGAAATACCATATGCAATCATTAAAAACAATAAGCTGATCTGTATAGACACAGGTGCATGGTATCATACTAAGAGGAGAATGAAATTAGTTCCAGAAAAATAAATATGTCTCATTTTTGCAAAAGTAAGAATGTACATGTGCATATATATAGGGTACACAAACATATATGTACACACATGTTATCTTTGTATATCCATAGATGATCATCTGAAAAGATACAGTCAATGCTATAAATAGTGACTGTCCTTGGGGAGCAGAATGAAGGGGAATTATGAAAATGCTCTACTGTTTAAATTTTCATAAGCATAATTACTTTTATAATTTTAAGAAGTCGATAAAATGACAAGAAAGAAATGATAACTAAAACTGAAGACTTTAAGATATAGTCTTACTTAATATTTTTATGTAAAATAAAATTTTGAGTGTGCAAATCATTCCACATGTTTTTTCCTTCCTTCAGTCACTATTTCCCCTGTCATAAGCACTGTGTTGGCAATCAATGGTGCATAAGAATCCTGCTCCTTATAAACTTGTAAATTCAATAGATAAAAATTCTTTATATTTTTTAACTCCTCCTTTGTTTACAGGAATCCAGCATATTCCAAACTAGTGATGTTTGTTCAGACAGAAATGAGAGGAAAATTGGCCCCATCGATAATTGAAGCAACCATGCCTTCCAATTTAGTAAGCTTCATGCTCAATGTAAAAGATGGAATAAAGACACAAAAAATTCCATCAAGACATGGATATCATCATAATGGGCATTCATCTTTCCTAAAGAAGAAATGAGGCCATTTAACAATCATGTGTGGCAATTACAGCCTTTTGCTTCTAAGTCAATATGCATAAATACTGTGACACTCTTCTAAACAGTATTCTTGAACAAATTACTGAAGGTACTTCGTGAAAATAAGACCACATAGTTGTACAAGAGAACAGCATTAAATATTGTTTTTAATCTCATATAAGAATGTTAAATAACAAGGGTTCTTAATGTACTTTTATCTTTTACTTTTTCCCCTGTAAAATTCTCTGCAAAAAAGCATCAATAAGAAAGCATATGCAGTCAGAAGTCAGCATTAATTAAAGATTAAAATATATTTTAAATTGTTTTTCTTTTACTTCTTAAATCGATAACTGTAGGAAACATGAACCTAAAAATTGAAAAGAAGTCCACTAGAATGTTTGACAGTTGATGTCTGGAATCTGCAGGCTTCCCTGATGAATCAGTGGTAAAAAATCCGCCTACCAATGCAGGAGAGGTGGGTTTGATCCTTGGGTCAGGTAGATCCCCTGGCGGATTGCATGGCAACCCACTCCAGCTTTCTTGCCTGGGAAATCCTATGGACAGAAGAGCCTGGCAGGCTGCTGTCCATGGGGTCACAAAAATCTCGTACACGTCTCAGTGACCAAACAACAACAATCTGGCATCAGGAGCTGAATCATGAATCAATTTCTGGTCTGGCCAGAATGTGGTAGCCCATTCCTCCTAAAACTAGAAGACCATGCACTCACGAGGCAAGCATAGGAAGACTCGAGCTTATCCGGAACGAAGGCAGCAAACTAGTCAAGGACCTGGGCACCTGAGGGATGTCCTAGCAGAGAGTTCTCTGGGTTCCCTTATTACCATATGTCTATTTGAGACACTGACTTTTCACCAGTCAGTCTCCGGCGTCACCGCAGCTCAGAAAATGCCGAGCCGCCCGCCCCACCCAGCTGTGATGGCCTCCCGTCTGTGGTGAGTTGAGTGGTGACCCCAGAAGGTATGTCCTTGTCAAATCCCTGGAGCCCTGTGACCTTATTCGGAAAAAGGATCTCGGCAGATGTAATTAAGAACCTCAGAATGAGGTCACCCTGGATCATCTGGGTGGGCTCTCCATCCAACCCCAAGTGCGCCGGAGGAAATGCACGTGGGAGAGCCGTGTGGAGAAGAGGCGGCCGTGTGAAGACGGGCAGGGATGATGTGCTGCGACCTCAAGCCGAGGGACCCCCGGAGCTGCCAGAGGCTGAGAGGGAACAAGGACCCTAGAGCCTTCAGCCTGAGTGTGACCCTGCGGATGCCTGGATTTCAGACTTCCGGCCTCCAGAATGGAGAATACATTTCTGTTCCTCCAAGCCACCAAATTTGTGGTCATCTGCATCACTTAAGGAAACCGGTGCACCCGGGCTGCAGTCAGCAGGGCTCGGCGGGAATCTGGGGCTCCGCTCCTAGATGGCATCGGGGAGGTGAAACCAGATGTGGGACATGAGGACGGTCAGCACTGCATGTCCCCTTCCTGCCCTGGTGTCCTCCGGACCAAGTGCAGAGCTGAGCTTGTATTTGCGATTGCAGGCAACAATTATTGCAAATCAGGGCCCATTCCTGCCCCCTCACGGCTCGGTCAGTCTCCATTCAGCAGAGCGGTGAGAGCTGGGCCGGGCGGGAAGCTGAGTGCACGCTCCCACCAGCCCTCCGTGATACCGCAACTAGGAGACTGCCTGCTGAGACAGAAGGTTCAATGGGCCCACAGTCCTTCGGAAAGCAAGACCAGAGTGGGTAAAAAGAGGTGAAAATGTCATTAATGTATCCTCGGGAGTACATTAAAGCACATTCGATGGTTGTGCGTTCATGCTCAGTCGTGTCCAACTCTTTGTGACCCCAGGGACTGAAGCCTGTTTCCTCTGTCTATGAGATTTTTCAGGCAAAAATACCATAGCCGGTTGTCATTTCCTCCTCCAAGGGATCCAACCTGTGTCTCCTGCGTCTCCTGCATTGGCAGGCGGATTCTTTACCACTGAGCCACCTGGGAGACCCCCATCTGATAGTCAGCAAAGGTGGGAAAGCAACTCAGGGCAGGAAGAACCACCTTCAGCAAACGGTGTTGGGTAACTGACATCCGAAGACCTAACCTTGCACTTTATACAAAAATTAACATGGAGCAGGGGCTTAAATGTAAAACATTAAATTATAAAACTTGGGAGAAAAATCTTCACAACCTACAGCTAGGCAGAGTTCTTACACTGGATACCACAAGTATGATTCATGTAGGGAAAAGTAATAAATTAATCATCAAAAGTTTTGCTCTAAGAAAGGCCTTATGAAGAGGTATTATGAAAGTTATCTGTATTTATTTTGAGGTATTATTTTGTTATCTGTAGTAACAAAAATCCCATATAACACAAGTTTGAAGGTAATACTGTCATCCAAATAATATGAAAAATAAAAACAATCTAAATTCTAAACTGATTTTTAAATCTTTTAAATAATCTAATCATGCAACCCTAATAATCTCAGATACTCAGACATTACTGGAATTACCAAAATAAAATGTTTATATTGAATCAAAGAAATGCTTATTCCCTATGCACCTTCATAGCTTGGACCTTATCTAACCATGATGTTGGACATGTAATGTTAATGAACCAGAACAGTGCAACATGATTATATCAATTAAGAAAATATTTGGCTGCAAAAAGAAATAAAGGACTTTCAGAGAACACACGGTTGAGCAGCTTACTGCTCTCATACAGAAGTCTATGATAACTGAGACAGGGGAGGCTCTTTACACCAATTCTGCTTTGCTGACAGCCCTTTCTGTCCCAGTGTTCCAAGCAGGACAAAGAGGGGTAAAAGCAAAAAGACATTTTATTTGAGTTCACCCTGTTACACGTAGCTTTTTTGGAAACCCCCTCATTCAGTCAAAGATGCTCACATCTCATTAGCCCCCAACACATGGCCATGCTTGGTATTTAAAGGTATTCCAGCACCTGTGGTAGAAAAATACCTGTGGTATTCCCCACCTGTGGGGTGGGGGTAGGGTTCCACTGGAGTGCAGAAATAAAATCGTACAACTTCTATTTATATTCTTTTTAAAAAAAAAAATAAACCGCTAATTACTAACATACTGTGTACATTGACTCCAGCGTCACACCTCGCCATTTATGGAGTCCTGAGACACATACATTATATGTGCTTATATTTTTCAGAAATCTACATTTTAAAGTTTGACAGGGTGCAGGAAAAAATAATTTGTTTTGCCAGCTTCTGGACGATACCTGCAGACACTATATTGTACACCTTCTCTACACAGGTTCAAGTGGCACATATAATGATATTACTTCTTTGGACATAAAATCTGGGCGTTTTTTAGGGTTTATAGCTTTGACAAATATCAAAAATCCTTTTTAAAAAATGGCAGTCTATAATAATCATTTTAATAAGTTGCTTTCAACTTTATCCTCCACTTGAAGGTTTTGGGATTTAATTGAATAAAATAAGTTGTTTTCCAATGCCATTTTTTCACTAATGCTTTCTTCACATACTTTATCTTTTTCATAAATTAAGGTGACTTCTGTACACTACTGTAGATTATCATGTATCAAGTGCAACAATTATGATGTATAACAGACAATCACAACACCTCAGAGGCATACAATTAACTTTATTTATCCCATGTCTCGCATTGGCTGTGGGTCATCCGAGAAAGGATGGCCTGGGCTGGAACAACTGGAGTGAGGTCACTCTGCTTCCTGAGTCTCCATCCTCCAGTGGGGATGGAGCTGTTCTCACAACGAAGGCAAAGGAGCAAGGAAGGAAGTGGAAAAAACCTCAAGTGCTTTTTCAAACCTAACATCCCATTGGCAAAGCATGTCACTTGGCTAAACTCATAATCCATAAGCAAGGAAATAAAACCTGCCTCTTAGTGAAACTGTAAAGTCACACAGTAAAGGAGCATGAATACAAGAGGTGTGGAAGTGAGACCGTTAATCTTGATGTCTGACCCATGCTCACACCTCACTTTGCCACCTTGTTAACCGGGGCGGCTGGAGAGTAAGATGGCAAGTTTTCCACTTGAGTTCTGGCTCTGTGTATTTCTGCTTGCAACCTAACCATCTCTCCTCTCTAAAGCTCAACTCTTTCTTGCATGTAGTACTTTAACCCATATAGCTGAAAGCCACCAGGTGGCGCTTTAGACATTTTGCCTGGAGATAACCTTTCATTAGGTAACGTTTCATTAGGTATGTTTTCCAAGGTACCATACGCAGCTGTTTTATCAAATGTTTCGTAAAAGCTTTTTAATTAAGAAACTTCCGCATCATTCTTCCAGCCTCAGCTAACAGTTTTCTCAACTCCCTACTGAAGCCAAAAGCACATTTCCAGGGCTTTGTTGGTTGGTGACAGCTCCCCACTTCTTGAATTTTGTAGTAGTTACCTATTAACAAAATGATGCCACAAAACAAATAACCACACATTTTTTGTTGACTCAGAAAGAATATTTACCATAAAGTTATCGAGTATTTGCACTACCTCAACATTCATATTAACTGTCAATATCTTTCCCTACTCAATAACTGAAAATTGTTGTCACCAATATATAGCTTTCATAACTATTGATTAGCACAACATTTACTTTGCAATAATTACAAATGCATACTTTGACTAATGGAACTTGGTGACATCTAGAATGCTTACCTATATTTGAAAGTGAATAATACTGAGATGCTCATAATAAATCTAAATGTGATAATAAATGCTTATAATAAATCTCAATCAGCGGATTAACACTGATATGATGTTAACCTACATAATCACAGAACTGCTCCAAACCAGTGCTGAGCCATACTTTGGAGTCTTCTAGAAATATCCTCTATGCCTTGCAAATTATAAAACGTCCACAATCTTATATCCGATTTTTAATCTAGAAGGCATTGGGACAATGGGGAACAGCGGATACCATCAGTGTAGTCACTGTGTGTATCTGCTGGGGTGTGACAGCCTTAATCTCATCTCTAAATCTCCATCTACAAAATCGTAGAGAAGATTCAAACACATCCAATCCCTTGCTTTTTTTAAACCTTACAGACGGGCCAGAGGAAGTGGACTTCTATTATCTGACAGTCCTAAAGACAGATCACTTGTATGGAGAGTTCCTTCCAGTTCTTTACAACATATATATTCCACCACCCAGTTCTTCATGGGGCCTGTGCCACACAATTCATCCATTCAGTGTTTACTGAGCACCCTCTGGGTGCCAGGCATTGTGGTTGGTTCTAGGTATACTAAGGAGCATTAATTGAATATGCACTGCTTTGGCATTTTTTTAAAAATCAACTTACCAAATGGTAGATATTACCAAGACCTATACATTTTTAGCAGCTTAGCTGGCAATAGAATTTCTTTATGGCTATTTCCTAAAAGAGGTGAATTTCTTGAGCAACTCTGTACTTCATAGGAAAAAGCCCTGTTCTTTGCTCTAGCATAGCAATGATTTGGCTACTCTATTTTTTATACACAATCATATATATCTTCCTCCCAATGTTTCCATGATGTATGGAAAATATACTAATGCTGATCATGATATTCTTTTTTATTGAAAAGCAATATAAAACATGTTAGGAATGAGAGGAAGGTAATATTTTACATTATTTCTGTTATATTTTTACGCTTTGTGCCAGAATTTCTTCCCATAACTATGTTTGCTTTATCTAGAACATTTCATATTACATTTCTACATTATTGAAGTATTAGTATTTAATTTAGAAGAGCTTAATAAACTGCTAATCTGAGAACAACCATCTTTCCCTTTTGTGGAGCATGCTCATTTATGTACAGTGTGGAAATCTGATCCCGTTCTCTTCCAATCAGCCAACAGTTCTTTTTGTACCTCTTCCGGCAGTTCATAGAAAACTTCAGGATCAATGTCAGAAGGAAAAGTAATTTTCTCATCAGAAGACTCTTGCTGTCTATTTTCTTTAAGTCCTTCATGATGAGAGACTGTTGGCACTGGTTGCTTATGGCTGTCTGTGGTACGGTTTTTGGAGAAAAGCTGCTCACTCTGCAAATTTGGAAATGAATGGAAAACAGATACAGCAGGGTTTGTATTTGAAAAGTGGAATCCTTGAGATTCTTTAGGTCCTTGACTCATTCGTTCATCTTTTAAGCTACTGTCTAAATAATGTGAATAATCCTTTTGGCTAGACACATAAGAGGAACTGCTACCGCCTGATGTTCCTGGTTCACAGGGAGATACAGAGGAGACCTGTGTGCTTTTGGGTACATGATCTTTAGGATTTAAGGAACTATCCTGCTTTTGTTTCTTAGAAAAGAAAGATAATACTCCTCGAGAAGCATGTAATGGACAACTCAAACTTCCTTTTCCTTGAACTTTTTCTCGAGATTTTCCAGAAAGGATTTCTTCTTGAATATCTACAGGAAGCTGCTTGAAGACTTCTTGGTCAATATCCTCAGGAAGCGAGGAGAGGGGAAGTTCATTCTTGTCTTTTTCTTTAGAAGGGTTTGTGGGATCTGGGGGAGACTCCCCAGTTCTTGTACTTTCAATCCTTCCAGTTGGTAGAAAATCCCGATTTGATTCCTTGTCTTTAGAAAAATCCTCCATATGACAGTCTTTCATTTTCTAGAATGTAAGGATAACAGAGTAATTTAGGTATCTGATATCTTTTAAATATTCATGCTGCTGAAGTATAACTGTAGCTATTATGGGACCAATATGCTTCTATCCTACTCCATAACTTCAGTCCTTCTGGACAGTCCCAAACAACTAGAAATGATTAATCCACCACAATTAGTCACACTGCTGTGTGGACCTTTGCTCACTATTCCAGGAAGAGGGCTTCCTCCCTAGACAGCACTGAGCCAGAAGGTAGGTATGTATCTGGAGACCTGGAAAGGACCTTAACAATCATGTATTCAAACTTCCAATTGTGAGGATAAGAGAATGGTGGCCTATGCAAATGATGACTCACCAATGACTCAATCTAAAACATGTATGTGCACAGATAGCATCAAGGACTGATTTTCTAAAATTCTCTACTTTGAAGTGTAAGATTTAACAGAAAAAAAAAATCTCTATGATAAAAATCCAATATCATTTATAAGATGTAACACTCTTTTATATGTACCTGAACTAAAAATTTTAAAACACCTTCCATTTTAATGTGCATAATTTTCCCTCTAGTTTTAAGCACCATAAAAAGTGTATAGATAGTCAAATATAATTCAAGAAACATCAACACAACAGTAATTTCAAAAAAATAAAAGTAGAAGAGATTTGGGCCACTGTATTTATTGAGCACCTATTGTGTGCCGAACATGAACAAGGTACTTCCACTTATTTTTACCCCTCTAATTCTACAGTGAATTAAAGACCTTTAATCCTCATTCTACAGACTAATTTTAAAAAGTAAACATCTTTTAAAATTTCAGTTAATAAAAAGGGTCACTGAAAAAAAGTACTTTGAAAATGGCATTAATTCAGTATTTCCATAACACTATCCTGTTCTCACTATAGGCTTAAAAGTAATTGAAAATATTACTAAAATTATACCAACAATAACAATAAAGAAAATAACAAAAACATTTAAATTAAGAGTTAATTGTAAGCATAAATAATTTAGTAAAAGATTATTTTTTAAAGCATCCCATATTTGGTAAACAAAAGTTTACAGAATGGCCATCATAGCATTTTCTTTAATCATTTGAAATTATGACTGACCTCTGCCTCTCTAATACCATACTCTTAATTTCTACAATTATAAAGTGAGTATTCATACTCTATCAATATTGCTACCAGAATTCAATATAATTTCAAAACCAAAAAAATTTAAATACTTGAACAAAAACTTTGGTGCAGGGGAGCTACTGGTAGCTTCTGTATAAACTGACAACGAGATTCAATTTCTAGTATTTGAAAATATTTTCATATTTTCACCATCATATTCCTATATACTGTTAAAAAATGTTTTAACAGTTCCAAAACAGAGTACCTCTATCAAGGTTTTCTCTTTTATCCAGTGACACTTATGTTTTATTTTTAGACCACAGTACAATATACTTAAGGCTAGTAACCATAATATGAAAGATACTATTAATATATATAAGTAAGTCATTCAAATCTCATCCCCAAAAATTCTCTAAATTATATCAGTTAAACACAAATTTATATTTGCAATTTAACTATACAAATCCAATAACAGTGTACTTACAAAACTGCGCTTTCCAGCGTGTGGAGTTGTTGATAATGAAGGTTTTAAATAATAATCAATAGTCCCTTTCTTAGCAGTATTTAGGGATTTAAGGTTGCAGAAGCACACACTTAATAGGGTAAGATGAAATGGCATCTTCACATTCACCATATTTCGAAAAAGTTTCATAAGAGTATCAACCATTGGGGTCATCACATCATAATTTCCTAAATAAAATGTGTAAGAAGACAATATCTAAACATACTATGTCATAACTTAATGTTAAGAGCTTAATCTAATTTGTATTGCCTAGATTAAGAAATTAAAATCCTAAATAGGTATCATTGGGACACCTTGACATTATATACTGAACTGGGACATCTCAACATTAACACCAACTGCCAAATGAGTTGAACTTTCCAGAGGATTTAAAATATTGAACTTTTAGTTGTGGGAGAATGTGGAGGTTGAAAAATCTCCGCATAAAATTAAAACTGAACAAAATGGTCAAAATAATCATTTCGAAATTCTGAAATGAACCAAAGGTGAAAAAACTGAGAAGCACTGACTTATGAAAAACTGCCAGAACTTAGGTAAGAAAATGGGGACAGCAGCCTTCTTGGCTGGAGCTGTCTGTATCCCCCACTCACAGAGGGCGGCTGGGATAGTAGTTTCGCCAGGATGAGGCTGGCTGTCAAAGCCAGCAGCTTTGCTGCCAGCAGAGACTGACCTGATTTGAGGAAGAGGGCAAGAGCCCACAACCAGCAGTGACGCCAGAAAAATGAGCACACGGTAGGAAACAAATAAAATCACATGGCTCGTGAGCCCGGGACTGCCACTGTGGTTGGGATGAGTGAATGATCAGTAGACCAGACATAACTTCTAACCAGGAGATCTGGAGATGAGAGAAGCACAGCCGACTGAGCGCAGAGAAGGCCTCAGCTCTGCACGCGTCTCTGCCGAGAATGGCAACCAGCACAGCGGGGAGACGCAAGAGGCGGGAGCAGAGGACGAGGCGCCGCGGTCCTGCGGAGAGCCTCCATTTCCAAGGTGCCCTCCCACCCAGCACACCTCCCTTCACAGACCAAAGCCTTCCAGCCCGCTGTATTTGAGCAAACTTTTGACCAATGATTGTCTAACTACCAATCTATGCAGACAACAGGGTAACCACCTAGGAAGCCAAAATAAATGTTTTTAATTTTAATTTCAAAAAGAACCTAAGCAGAGAAATCAGGGCAACACATCACAGGAGAGGTAGATTTTGCAGCTTAAGTCCAGAAAAGTTACAAACAAAGAAAAGGAAAAAAAAAAAATGCCCACAGGGGGAAAAATCCAAATTGAGAGTTTTACATTCTCTAAAATGTCCAATCGTCAACAAAATATTACAATACATACAAAAAAACAGCAGCGTGGTTCATACTCAGGGGGAAAGACCAGTCAATAGCAACTGACTTTAAGTACGATTTAGCAAAGACTTCAAAGTTGCTACTGCTTTTCTCCTGATTTTTTAAATTTCATTTTCAAATTTTCGGGTGCACTGGGTCTTCGGCGTCCTCCAGCTGTGGTAAGCAGGGGCTACTCTCGAGAGGTGGTGTCTGGGCTTCTCCTTGCTATGGCTTCTCTTGTTGCAGAGCGCCAGCTCTAAGGTATGCAGAAGTTGGGGCGCAGGGGCTTAGTGGCCTCATGACATGTGGGATCCTCTCAGACTAGGGGTCGAGCCCATGTCCCCTGCAAAGGCAGGTGGATCCTTAACTACTGGACTATCAGTGTGCGTGCACGCACACTAAGTTACTTTAGTCATGTCCCACTCTTTACAAGCCCATGGACTTAGCCCACCAGGCTCCTCTGTCCATGGAATTTGCCAGGCAAGAATACTAGAGTGGGTTTCCACACCCTCTTCCAGCTATTTTCCCAACCCAAGGATCGAATTCCTGTCTCCTGCGGCTAACACACCTATAGGACAATATCAAGCATATGTGCAATGCAAGTCCCAGAAGGAAGAGAAAGAAAAAGGAAAGAATATTTGAAGAAATAAGAGCCCTTAACTTCCCAAATTTCATTTAAAAATTTAGTCTACAGAATCAAGAACCTCAATAAATCCCAAATAAGATAAACACAAAAAAACACTGGAGAAGCGAATGGCTGCCCACTGCAGTATTCTTGCCTGGAGAATTTCATGGACAGAGAAGTCTGGCAGACTCAGTGCATGGGGTCAAGAAGAGTCAGACACGGCTCAGGGACTAACACACATATAGCCAAACTGCTCAAACAAGAGAGCTAAGTGACCCACTCATCACTTAAAGGAGAACAATGATATGACTATGCCTGCTAACAATTTACTGCCTCTCAACTCCAAATCACACTTAGTACCTGCTGTGATAACGGGGTAGACTCTGAAATTGTTTTTATGTTAAACATAATTCTTAAGCTTTGCAGTAGAGAGAACTGGAGGATCATTAAATTAGAAAAGGGGCTTCTCTTCCTGTTCCAGTACACTGCTCTTGACTTTTTCTTGCTTGTGTAACATGGTCTGCGTGCAGTACACACATGTGGAGATACCTACTAGTGCTCTGCCACGCCACATGTGCGTGGAAGGCTCAGCCCCTCAGCAGCCCCAGCCCCAGTCAAGCCTAGTGACCGTGTTCCCGAGGCACCACCTCGGACCCTGCACACAGCAGGCCTGTGCCTCGCCCGCAGCCCTTCCACACACCCAGCTCACAGGCCTGCCCTGCCCGTGTGGGCTGTTTCCTCCAGCCCTTCCTAGGCAGGCACCATGCCCTCCACCCTTGTACTGGCACAAAAACGAAGATCCCACTGATCTCAGCTTGCCCACATCCTAGAGGACTGTCAACAGAAGCCCTCCCAGCACGGACACCTGCGAACCCCAGCTCACACGCTGCCCTGCCAGGGAGCAAGCGCCCACGGCCGCCTGTGTGCCCACCAGTCAGCCACAGCTCCTCTGGGGGCCAGGGGGTGCTTTCCCTTGGCCCAGGAACTACGGAGCCACTCTGGGCCAGGCAACTCAAAGGCTTTCTCCACCATCCAGGGTTCCGCAACCACATCTTCTCCGGGAGGGGAGGAAGACTCGCTTTCCAAGTCTGCTCCTCCTCGGCTACTTTTGCTTGGCCCCAGGGTACCTCTTAAGGCATCTTTATATCTTTGTAGTTACTCCCCATCACACTGTAGCCACTGTTGAAACCTTCATTGTTCAAATTTCTGTGTGGTTATGCTCTCTTGATTGAAACTAGTGACAGGAATCTCTGCTGATTAAACTATTAACAGCTGCCTCTTCATCAAAAATAATGGAACACAAAGCAGTGGAATACCATACTCAAAGTATGCAAAGAAACCAATCAAAAATTACATATCCAGACAAACTGTCGTTCAAAAAATGCTATTTTAGAGGAAGACGCCACAAATTTTAGTTCAGTAGAATGGTATGACTGTGTTGCTCAACCCTTCTTTTCAAATGCAAATCCTAGAACGTGCTCCAGGAAGACCAGAGGCAAGGCAACAAAAGAAGCCTCAATAAATATAAGAGGATTGAAATTACTCAAAGTATCTTCTCTGGTCAACATAAAGACAAATTGGAAATCAACAACAAAAGGTTATTTGAAACATAATCAAATATTTGTAAATTAAACAGCCAATTTCTAAATAAGTTTGAAATCACAACAGATATTAGAAACTATTCTGAGCTTAATGAATAAGAAACACGACACAACTTATGGAATACAGCTAAAGCACTGCTTAAAAGGAAATGTGTAACTTTTAACCTGAATTATTAGAAAAGAGGTAAGTATAAAAGAAATAAAGTAAGCTGCCATCTTAAGAACCCAGGAGGAAAAGGCAAATTAAACCTAAAGCAAGCAGAAAGAAGGAAATAACAAAGATCAAAGTAGAAATAAATGAAATACAAAGCAGAAAGAAAACTGAGAAATTAATGACACCAAAAGTTGAATCTCTGAAAAGATTGATAAACCTTACTAGAATAACAAAGGGAAAAAAAAAAGAAATTATCAAAATCAAGAATGAAAGAGAGGATATCACTGTAGACCCTATAAAAATGAGAATTACAAGGGAATATTAACAATTCATGATACTAAGTTAGACAACCTGGATGAAATGCATACATTCTGAGAAGATACAAATTACCAAAACTGACTCAAAATGAATAGAAAATCAGAAAAAACTCATAACAGAGAAATAAAATTCCTTTTAAAAAAATCTTTCCACAAACAAAGCCGAGGACCATGAATAGCCAAATCAACTTCATAAAAGAACAAAGCTAGAGAACTTACACTACCTAATTTCAGAACTTACAACAAAGTATCAAGACAGGGTGGAACTGGAATAAGCATAAGTATACAGATCAATGGGAAAAGAAAGGCAAAAAAGAAAGCCTTACATTTATGGTCAACTAGTTTTTGACAAAGATGACATGGCAATTTAATGGGGAAAGAACAGTCTGTTGACAAATTCTATGGAACTAGTGGATACTCACATGCAAAAGAATAAACTAAAACTCTTACTTTACACAACACATAAAAATTAATTCAAAGTGGATTTAAATATAAATCTTAAAAGTATAAAATTTCTGAAAAAAAAGCGTAGGAAATATTTATAATCTTTGCATTAGGCAAAGAATTTTTAGATATATCAAAAGTAATACCCATAAAAGAAAAAAAATAATGAAAGACCACTACATAGTTATGAGAATGAGTCAAGAAAATGATAGTATTAAAACATAAATGAGAATATGAAAAACCTGAAAGCCTCTGTACTCTGTTGCTGAATATCTACCTTGTTATACTCACTCTGGAAAAAAATGTGGCAGTTTCTTAGAGTTCAACTACCATACAACCCAGAAATTCCATTCTTTGTAATCTACCTAAGATGAACAAAAGCATATATCTGCCTGAAGACTTGCACTCAAATGTTCACAGCCCCATTTTTTAGAACAGGCAAAAAATGGAAACAATCTAAATGCTCATAAAGAAATTATCTAATACCATATAATTAATTATCATAATTTTGTTTTCTTTGGAGTTGGGAAGCATTCTCAACAGGGTATTTACTTTTAATATCTACTGAAACAACACAAGTTTTCTAATGAAAATTTCTTATAGAAAATAAAGTACTTAATAGCTCACTAACTGCATGTGAGTATTACCCATTTTTGGATCATACTTCTAACTCAAAGTTTGTTTTTTTAAGAGTTCAACCTGCCAATTAAATGATCAGAAAGTAATCCATCACCTGCCCCTAACTTCTGAATTATGTGGGACGGAATTGGGCACTGACGACTCTCACGGTTATAGTGCTTCTCAGATGAATACCGACGGATTATTAATCTGATTGTATGTGGCTTCCTTCCATCTTGGCAGACTCTAAAAATAGAAAGAGGAGACAAAGAAGTAGAAAAAGTTTTCTTTTCTTTTTGATGATCGACTATACCTCATTTACTTAAAAGTGCCAGACTGAGTAACCGCAACAATTATAAACACAGTTGATAATCAGGCAGCAGGCAATCAAGGTGCCTGAACAGCTCAAGTAAACTGCATAAAGTCTTCATAATTTATTATGAAATTTAAAATTAATAATAATTAACAACTATTATAATTGTTATATTTATTATGATTATATATCATATATTATAAATATAAATATAGTAATAAACATTACTTGCTATTAATATATAATATACAAATATTTATATTTTAGATATTATATATAATATATAAACATTGATAATTATACATTATATAATTAAATTATAACATCTTAACATATGTATGATATATAATATATAATTATTAATATATTATATATAATGATTTTTGATGATATATATAATATATATTATATTATTGTATAATATATAGTATATTATATCATATATAACATATAGTATATCATATATATATAATTAATTATATTACATTTACATAATTTATATATTACATATATGTACATATATAATGTACATATATGTATAATGTACACATACATACATAATTACATATATATGTAATTATATATAATTATATATTATATACATGTACCTGTATATATGTGTACATATATAATGTACACGTATGTATAATGTACATAGTTACATATATATGTAATTATATATATTAAATACACAAATATATAAAAATATAAAATATAACATATATAATAAAATATATAAATGTATAATGTATAAAAATATAAATATATATTACATAAATTAAATATATATAAATATAAATATATAATATATATTTATGTAGGAGGGGAGGGGCAGGGGGCTGGGAGGGAAAAGTTAAGAAAAACTTTTACCCTGAATTCACAGGGGGGAGGGGGTAGAGAAGCACAGCAGAAAGGGAATTTGCTTGAAAGATTTGTTCCTCTTCCGGGTACACTAAAATACACATTCCTGAACAGAAGGGCACCCCGGGCAGGCTTTTGCATGGAGAGGCTGAGAATAAGAGTAGCGCCTCCGCGGAGAGAGACGTGATCTGGAGCCGTGTTTAGCCCTCTTTGGGCTGAAAATGCTGGGTTTGGCAGGGGGCTTTTAGGTAGCAGGATCCTACATGTGGGGTTCGGAATGGGGCAAGAAAGGGGTGCGCCTCGCGGACTGCTTTTCTCTCCGCAGACTCAGACCACGTGAGGCCACAATCCCCGCTCACCCCCTCTCCGGGTTGTAAAATATATATATATATATATAATATATTTATGTATAATATATACATATAAAATATACACACAATATTTATATATTTAATGTATATATTTATATATTGTTTATACAGTTCTATATAATATATAATATATAATAATTATAATAATATATAATATACAACATAACATTCATAATATAATTATGAATGTATATTATATATTATAGTTATATATCTTATTTTGTTTTATATTTATTATATATATTATATATGTAATCATATATCATGTTATATATATTATTTAACATATATTATATATAATATAAATATATATTATATAATAATATTCTATATAATATACTATATATTATGTATAATAAATAATGATATAATATAATAATAATAAATTTTAAATTTTAATTTATCTTGAAGTTTTAAATGTAAGGCTCTCAGGCCTCACACAGAATTGAGTGCTATCAGGGAAAAAGCAGAAATAAGATACAATTATAACAAGCCATTTTATTATCCAAATCCAAATCATAAATAAAATAACATATTAAAATCAGCAGGAAATTTAAGAAACTGAGAATCATTTACTGACAGAAGCAAATATATGAAAAATGACAAATTTTTACACATTAAAAAGACTACAAAAAGAAAACAAATATTTAATGAAATTATTTCTGTCAAAAAGCACTTCTCAAATATATCCAAGGGAGTCAGTAGTATCACCATTATATGGCATATTAGAACAATAATGTGAAAGATCAACTAGATATTTATATTTAGGAAAGTAAGCACTCATCCATGAATCTTAAAAGTGATCCATCCAAATGATCTTGGTTTTGGTGTTGAAAAGTTTTAATGCCATGGAAAATTCGCTTAAAAAATAGAAAATCTAATCACTAACAGAAAATAAATGTCATCAAAAAATAACATTTACCTTTCTATATGTATGTCAATGCACTAAAAGATCACAAAGATAAAATACAAATAGTATTAAGCATAATCAAATTGATTTTGAATTAGAATATTTAGATTTTTGTAGTAAGCATTTTTTTATTGCTTAATCACAAAACTTGACTGCTGTTTTATTAAGATAATAAAATATCTCAACTGGTTCCTATAAACATGTTACTAGTTTAAACATCTTCCAATTAAACTTGTTCTGTTAAGTTAATATGCGACTCAAAGAGTGTGATTTGGCTCCTATAACTAATTAAGACATACAAAAAAAGGGTTATACTCTAAGCAATCTTAAGGCCAGTGCCTAGAGAAAGGATTAAACAATGTATGATTTTATACCTCTTACATACCTATAGTATTAATAATCATATGCTCGAGAACAGTCACACATACACAGTTACCTTTTTTTTTGCCAGCTAGATGGCATTATAAGCCACTGTATAGAAGAGGGCAAGCCAAGCAGAGATAAGGAGACATAGCTAGTAGTATTTCATAGGTTTAGGGCATCTAGACTCATTTATAGACTTCCCTGTAGCTCAAATGGTAAAGAATCTGCCTGCGAGGCAGGACACCAGGGTTCGATCCCTAGGTTGGGAAGTTCCTCTGGAGAAGGGAATGGCAATCCACGCCAGTATTCTTGCCTGGAGAATTCCATGGACAGAGAAGCCTGGCAGCCTACAGTCCACAGGGTTGCAAAGAGTCAGACACAACTGAGTGACTAACACACAGACTCATTTATGGGTTGATTCTTCAAATAAAGGAACCTATAAAATGTATAATTCTTGTGGTTTCCCTTTGTCCATAACTGTTTCCAGTGGCTAGGCATTTCATAGTAGTCTTATTTAACTGAAGCAAAGCAGATGACCCAGTTTCACCTGCACACTCGAAGGCTCGGCCTGAGTCATATCCCTGAAGCTGCGTCATACAGCCAGCTGCGTGCAGCAAATGATGAGTTGCATGGCCTTGCTCAGGACATAAGAACTGAAATGCATGTGGCAGCAAAGTTGAAGGAAAATTCACTTTATCAGTTTTCTGAGAGTTAGTCATCCAAAAACCATTTTTTTTGTCACAGAGGCCATCCTAACATCATTACAGAAGCACACTTACCCAGAGCTGTTAGACCCCTGACACCCTATTTTGAGAAATCAAAGAAGTGGGAGGAAAAGAAGTAACACTCTTCTATGGAGTATTGAGAAATAGATATATGATGGCAAAGGAGCATCAGAAAACGAAATTAGTTTCTGCAATGCTATTTGTATACTCATAATTCCAATTAACACTCTTCATGTATTTAAAGGCCAGTAACCCTGAGCATATTAAAAAGAGACATTACTTTGCCAACAAAAGTCCATCTAGTCAAGGCTATGGTATTTCCAGTGGTTATGTATGGATGTGAGAGCTGGACTGTGAAGAAAGCTGAGCACCAAAAAATTGATGCTTTTGAACTGTGATGTTGGAGAAAACTCTTGAGAGTCCCTTGGACTGCAAGGAGATCCAACCAGGCCATCCTAAAGGAGATGAGTCCTGGGTGTTCACTGGAATGACTGATGCTGAAGCTGAAACTCCAATACTTTGGCCACCTCATGCGAAGAGTTGACTCATTGGAAAAGACCCTGATGCTGGGAAAGATTGAGGGCAGGAGGAGAAGGGGACGAGAGAGGATGAGATGGCTGGATGGCATCACTGACTCGATGGACATGAGTTTGAGTAAATTCCAGGAGTTGGTGATGGACAGGGGGGCCTGGTATGCTGCGATTCATGGGGTCGCAAAGAGTCGGACACGACTGAGCAACTGAACTGAACTGAACTGAACCCTGAGCATACACACAATCACCCTCACTGCTCACACACAGTCCCATTAAGTCATTCCTTCATCTGACTCTATACTCGGAGGCACAGGAGATAAAAGGGTTCTGCTTTCTCCATCAATTGACTATCCTCAATCATCACAAATTTGTAAGTGTAGCGATTCCAGAGATACCCACAAAACTCCCTTAGGTAATGATCAGCAGCTTAAGATCCACAGTGAACCACAATGTTACAAAAGCAGTGGAAGGATGAATTAAATTTAGTTAAGAACATGTGTTACTACCTTTGTAATACTTTATAATATGGAGAGGTTCAAAGATAGATGATCTTTACATGTTTAGTCTCCAATTAATCTGTAAATTCCAAGAAAGAACATCAAATACAGTAAATATATAGTATTTCCATGTACTGTACAGAGAATCTATAAGATAATATGGCAAAATGGAAAGATCACCTGTTCAAAAGACTAGCAAGTAGTTCTTCAATCTTAGTTTTAACTTCAACTTCTGATGAACATTTTTTAAATGAATCTTCCTCACTAAAGGACTACCAAAGAAGAACAAATAAGTATTAACATAAACCCAAATAAGCATATCCAATTATCAGTGTGCATGTCAAATAAATATTTAAAACTTTCTTTATCTCTTACGCTTAGTCTGAGCCATTTAGTTCACTCTTATATTAAATCTTTTCATCTGCAAATTATTGTACTCCACTAGAAAGTAAACTGGAAGTCAAGAAAATTACAAAGCTCTAGTACCAATGCCAAGCTTTAATGTGTGATTACAGTGAGGTTCTTAATCTCCTAGGGCCTGAATCTCAGTTTAACCTTGGGCAAGTTACTTATCCTCTCTAAAATACAGTATCTTCATCTTATAAAAAATCACAGGAGGAAAAGGGAGTAAGAGAGGGAGGAAAAGGTATGAACAAACGTTAATATTACCTACATGAAAGGTTTATGGTGATGATTAAATGGGATTATATATATGTATATTCTTACCTTACAGGAAAAAAATTAATCACTGTTACCTGGGTGATTATAAACTTTCTCCATTTCTTAAATCATTAGACTACTCTGAAAACAATATTTTTACAAATTGTTTTGCCTCCTATATACAATATAGGCTATTAAAATTAAGCAGTAGTCAAAGTGGCTAACTTGAGATTTAAATACTAATTCTTAGATTCTATTTAAGGATATTAATTTAATATAATAAATAGCCTTCTCACAAGAAAACGATCACATACTAACCTAATAAGCAAATTGGAACAGTAAGAATACAGTAGTAAAACTGGAAATCTTTATCTCAAATAACGTGACCACCAGTACTCAATTCAAATAAGTAACACCTTCACATACCTGAGGTGGTCCTGAGGGAGTCACAGGAGAGTCATCCTCTCCAAAACTGAGCTTCTGGATACGCTGAGCAACTGAAATTCCTAATTCCTTTTCTAATATTTTGGATGGAAAGGTCTGAAGATCACGCACACTACTGATACCCAGTGCTTCCAGATGTTTGGTCGTTTTATAGCCGATACCTAAAGCAAAAAGAGGTACATGCAGTGTTACAATAGCTTTTCTCTTTATAATTAGCTAATTAAAATATTATAAATATTATCAACCACATTTTTTGATACCATAATTTTGGACACCATTGGCATTTTTGTTGAGACCAAACTTAAAATTTAATGCCACAGAAATGAATTTTAATACATACATTACTGATAGTCTATAAAAATGTAACCATTTGATCTTCAGAGATACAAATTTGCCCAATGATATGAACAGGTCATTGAACCCCTCAAGAAAATCAGTTTCTCCTCTCTAAAATAAAAAGTGGGCCCAGCTTCTTTCAAAGGTCCTTTGTGGCCCTAATATTTTATGTACAAGCCCAAAATAGAGTTAGTCAAAGACCAACTCCATTCTCTACAGTATTAAAGTATGAACCAGGGACTAAAAATAAAGGGCCATATGTTTCCAGTTTATAACTTTCATGATCATATTCAAACAATATAAAAGCAGGTAAAACTAGAAAAACACTTTCATATGTATAGTTTCCTAATAGTCTCTCCAGAAAACGTCAGGATTTTTTGGGGGCTTTTGGTTTTCACCAAGGGCCAAGTATGCTTCCCTGCTGACTCAGACAGTCAAGAACCTGCCCGCAGTGCAGGAGTCACGGGTTCAATCCCTGGGTTGGGAAGATCCCTTGGAAGAGGGCACAGCCACCCGCTCCAGGGTTCCTGCCTGGAGAATCCCATGGACAGAGGAGCCTGGAAGGAGGCCACAGGGTTGCAGAGTCAGACACCACTGAGCAACTAGCACACACAAGAGCCAAGCACACAGACTCTATGAGAATTAATTACGCATAACTATCATTTTTTAACTTAAAAGAAATACAGTAAAACCAATATATGTTTTTCAAATATATCTGTCTTACCAGGCATTTCCTTTATGTGGTTCAAACTATGAATGAGATCTTGAGAACTTTCAGGTAGTAAGACCGTTTGTTGATTTGGTTTAAAGACGCCAGAAACTAATTTTGCCAATAATTTATTAGATGCCACCCCCGCACAGCCAGTGAGACCCAGCTGATGATATATGGCTTCCCGCATCTCGGCCGCAATCTGAGATCCAACAAGGAGTCTGATGTGCGACGTGTCACGTGGGTTTACAGCTACAGAAAACAGCCAATGTTGTTAAAAGTCATCGTCAAAACGTTGTTTTTTTGTTTTCTTTTCTTTTTTAACAAATGAATTTTTAAAAGATAAAGGGCTTAATCTATACCCAACCTAGCCCTCAACACCACCACACTGCTGCACACTTAACTAATCTCTTTGGCTCTTCACAGCAATTCTGTAAAATAACTATCACAAGTGAATTCCAAGGGCCTGTGATAGCAAATACATACTGAGAGTGCTGATTGATTAATAGATTACAAAAATTGATCTCTCATAAAAAATTCCTACTGGCACTACCAGAACTTTTACTCATGTTTACCTGGAGGTAAGCATAAAAGTAAAAATATTACATTAATGATACAGCTAACATTTCAGATTCAAAGATTTTAATTTCAAGTTTTCACACTAGTAGTGTGTGCTACTAAAAACAATTTTGGATTTGTATACAGTTTAAGACATCATTTATTAAAAGTACAGGGAAATTGCTATATAGAAACAAATTTCCTTAGATGTGAAAATGACACAAGAGTTATATGAGACAGTATTGATCCTCAGAAGTATTTATGTCTGAAGTGCCATGATGTCTATAATTTACTTTCAAATACTCAATGACCTATCAACTGATCAATAAGCAGCAAGATAAAGCAAATGTGTAAAACAATACAAAAGGAGATCTACAAGGAAAGGCATAATGACTGTTCTCATTGTATTGCTCCATCAACTTCTCTGTAGGTTAAAAAAAAAAAAAATAACAAAATCTTATGCGAAAGAGAAAAGAATCATAAGAATTAGACTTTTTAAGGCCATAAAACCTAGCTCTCTATAGTATGTTCTAACCGTCAGACTCCAAGTTTGCTTTAGAAATTATACAGAAACACACCTGGAACCTCCCTGTTACCCAGACCTTGTAAGTGACAAAGGACACGTGAAAGCTGCATGTTTTCTTACAAAAGAGAATTGGAGCGCCACCTTTCTTCTTTAACATCAGAGAGGTGGAGAATGACTGGGGAGAGTAAGAGGAAGCACAGGAGGGCTGAGACCCGGGAGCAAGGAGGCCAGGACAAATCTTACACAGAAACACAGGAACTCGCCTTCTACGCAGTAGGGTCTGGAAGTCACCAGCAGTCACTATATGTTTGACAGCCTAAGAAGATATTCAGTGGAGCTGACTGCAGCCTATTTTCGAACACAATACTGCCCTGGAAATACCATCAGTCATTGGCACTTTAATAGTGAAGGAGATGAATTTTAACTGATTAAATATGAGCATGCAAAGGATGGTAGGTAGGTCAGGATAAGCTCCCACAAGGGCTAATGTGGGAGGGTCTTGTTGCCCTGGGAGAAAAGAAGCCAATAAGAAAAGAGGCAACAAGGGCAAATTTAGTTGACCTAGAATTTTGCTTAAGATGGTTTTAGGAAAACCAAAAATTACTCTAGGAAGTCAACTCCTGTAACCTAAGGATGGCCTAAAGAGGTATGACACTTAAAAATGGTTAACACAGGACCGTGTCAGAAAAATGAAAAGTGCACAAAGCACTGAGCTGTATGTCATCAAAATACCATTTTCTGCCTGTTTAATATGGAATAACAATATCTAATTTTAATCACCTTAGATGGCTGAACTATGGCAACAAAAGCCATAAAACTTTCAAAAGACACAGTCAACTCACTGAACTGATTGAACATTAGGAAATGCAGGTACTTTAAGTTACTAAATAAAGTGCATAAGAACCCACTTACGTTGATTATTGTACACATGACCCGACACAGTCAGTGCTGAGAGTTCATCACTTTGAAGCTGCTCTAGTCTCTTCTCAACCATTTCTGTTAGATCCACAAAATTTTCATCAAACCCAAGTCTCTCAACAACTGGACTAAATTCTTCCAACAGCTCTAAATTAAAATAATATTGGAGTACAGATGTAACTGAAGTTATAACTAGACTAGATTTAACTCTTTTATGTTTAAAAAAATAACAAAATAAAGGTTTTACGTACATTCACAATTACACAGCATCCTGAATAAATTCAGTTAACTGGGATTTTTTTTCTGTGCCATATTCTGCACAAAAGCAATATTTTCCAATAAAATAGGTTCAAAAATAACATTCCCTGGGCAGATACTCATAGCAATATATTTAGCACAATCTCCTATACCAATAATTTATCTATAGTACATTAAATATCAATGCATGTAGTTAATTATGATCTTGACGCAGTAGGTCATAGAGTCTGCTTAGAAAAATAAAGATAAGTAATAATATACTCAAGCTATATTTTTCACTAGAATTTTAAAAAGGAAAAACAAAATAAAATTTAAATTTCCAATTAATACTAAGTTAAAAAGAAAAGTTACTTAATACAAAATATACTACAATGCAATAATTTGACTAGTCACCCTCCAACTCATTCTGTAAGGACAGAAACGGATTGTGACTTACATGTATTTGAACGTCCAGCCTCTAGCACAATGCCTAGTCCTTATGTCAAATGTTTCCTAAATTGAACTGAACCAAGATTTGAAATAAGTTCAAAAAGACTATCAAGTCTCGTTTTTAGGATTAAAACCAATAACTTTGAAACCATTAAGAAGAATTTTCACTTCTCTCCAAATCATCTACTGATACCAGCTGGGTGACAGAAAACAACTTACCAGTCACTAATTACATAAAAACGTAAATGTTGTTAAAGTCCTATAATGTGAAAGCTCTGTTTTCTTGGTGCTAACACTGATAACAGCAGGATAAAACAATTAATAAAGAAACAGTATGATCTAGTGAACTTCAAAAATCATTTCCAACCTACCGAGAGAAATCTATTTATCTACTCCGAGGGAAAAACTGACAATATGTCTGACCATATAAAAGAATTACTTTGTCTCATGCATCCAACCTGGGCTGGTGATCTGTTTCACCCTAGATAATATACATGTTTCAATGAGTGCTAAGGCCTGGTGCACTGGGAAGACCCAGAGGGATCAGGTAGGGAGGGAGGTGGGAGGGGGATCGGGATGGGGAATACATGTAAATCCATGGCTGATTCCTGTCATTGTATGACAAAAACCACTGCAATATTGTAAAGTAATTAGCCTCCAACTAATAAAAATAAATGAAAAAAAAATTATTTTGAATTTTCCTCACCAATTTCTGCTTTTTTTCTCCAAAAAGTATATATCTGATGCCTAGCAGTAACAGGTGAAAAATCAAAGTTTATCAAAACAATACTACAATAAGAAAAATAAAGGAAAAATTTTAACTACCAAGCAGAAAAGCAAGTTAAATACAGAATCATGTACAAAGCTGGTGGACTGCTGAACATAGATTGATTATATTAGTTCTATTACCAGGTCATAGGAATAAATCACTTATCCATTTGTGAAGTTAACCTTTTTTGCTGTCAATGTGTCAATTTCATAAACCAGATGCATTTATTAAACCTTATGATTACACAAGGCCAAAGAAAGGAGTTTATAATTAGAGAAAAAAATGAAATACTGTAGAATGAAGGTATGAAGTAAACAATAAGGTTATATGTATAGGTCTGAGATAAATTCAGTATAGGACTATTAGGCTACATTCCTATTTCAACTCCAAAAATACCATGAAAAAAATAAAAAAAATAACTTTTTATCAATGTATAAATCATGCTTAGAATATATCTTGTTATTATTTTAGTGCATTTTTAATTCTTTCAAGATACTAATTTATAAATTAAGAATCGGTATAAAAACTGAGATTTATGCATTGATTTTCTAATATGATACTTTTCACTGTGAAGAGTTGCAGTGGTACAGAAATCATTTAGACTGATTAGTCTGACATTATAAAGCAAAAAAGACAAAACATGTATATAAATGATCAAAAATACACAAAAAAAATGCTCAAACTTCTCAGAGTAATGCAAATCAAAACAATGATTTACTATTTTTTTAACTATCAGGCAAAATCTTTATAAATATCTAATACTCTCATACATACTAGCAATGTGCTAGGAAAACCTGAAGTGCACCTTATAGCAGTATTCAAAATTTCTAATGCAAATTATCTTTGATCAAGCAGTTAACCTTTAGGAACTTACTTTAAGGATATCTTCACGGAGGTATGTGAAAATTCTATATGAAAATGTCTACTGAAGCACATGTTGATATTTTTTAAGAGCAAAAGTTGGTAAGAGCCTAGTAACCCCTCGCTATAAGAGAAATCACATAATTTATCATCCAAAATGAGATATCTTTTGAATGAAAGGAGATACTATTAATGATTACATAAGGACAACAGGCATAAAATGAGATATACTGCCTCCAAATCAGTAAAGGAATGGTTAAATAAGTTTGAGACAGAATAGAAATCTGTGCAGGCCTTAAAAAGAACGAGGAAGAGCCACATGGACGATGTGAAAGATCATCAAGACCAAAGACGTGCAGCTGTCTGTGCTCCATCACCTCTTCTGTGCAGAGACAATTCCTTTCTAAATGCCTGGGTACACACGTGTAACGGTGCACAGACACACACAGTGGGCTTTGGGAGTACAGTCTTGGGTTCTTTGCTTGGCTGCCCTCTCCCCTCCCCTGAAACAGGCCCCTGATTCAGCACCACCTCTGCCCCCGCAGAAGCTATCCAGGGCTAAACAGTGAGTATGCACCCTCTCTTCTCTCTCCTCCTGAGCACACACAGACACACACACGTATGTGGGGGAAGGTGTCTGCATCACTGTTTTACACATATGGAAAAACCTGTATCAGGTTTTTGCATCTTGCTTTTTACCCACTCAACAAGGCATACCTCTATCAATCAAATGAAATTATACCAATGAGCTATTTTTAATGGCCATATAATATTCCATTATAGAGAAGTCCTAAATTCATTTAGCCATTTTCACCCTGATGAGCATGTTTTCATTCCATATTTTTAGCAATTATGAATCATGCTATGAGACATTTTTTTACATATATGTTATCATTTTATTTCTATTTGATAAATCCCTAGAAGTTATACTATTGGGTTAAAGAACATAGTATGTATCTTTAATTTCAAAAAATGCTTCTAGATTGCCTTTTTTTAAGACTGTAATACTTTGTTTCTACTTTTTCTCACATTCTTATTTTTAGTACAAATGAATTTAAGCATTCCATTTTCACACTGTCGAGTCTGCTTTTTTGTCAACTGTCTATTCATATCCTTTGTCCATTTTGCTTCAGCTTGTTTCCTCCTATTAATTTGTAAGAGCTCTGGGATAGTATATTTAACCCTTTCAGCTGAAAACTGCTACAAATAACAAAAGAATAAAAATTATAGCAAACAAGTAAAAAGCTGATTCTTATACACTTTAAAATGATATCTATTTGCCGTATGCCAGTACACATATGGTTTCATTTTTCCTATAAGTTACTAAAACAGCAAAATTCAAATCCAAACCTTAGTAAGGGGGAGTTTATCCACACTGAAATATCTAATACATACACAAAAATCTAAAAAAAAAAAAAAAACTAATATACTCATTATCTTTGCTAATAGTTCCTAACAAATTGTTTTGTAATTATGTTAATCAAACGTTACAGAAGTCTCTCTCAACTGCCATTAGTACATTAGAGTACAACATAATTCTTCACAGTTCCAGCCTGCATTTAAATATCTGGTTTTATTTGATTTATTTCCTTCCATTTTCTCACTTTAAAATTTTTTTACATTTTCTCATATTTATATAAACATCACCCATGAAAGAGTTCAATTCCTTCCAACTATACGTTTCTTTCACCATTTACTCATGACATATTAAGTCATTCTCATATAAATTTTTTTAAATGGGAAAGCCCCCAAATAAAGAAAACTGACTTATGCACTTTACACTTACTAAACAATCATGTAGTTAACAGGCATCCTATATAAAATTTAATGCTGAAAGTATATTGCCCATAATCTATACCTGTAACCTTGTATGACATCTCTCTGTAACGAGTCAGGTCTTCTCCATTAACTAGTACTAGCTGTGGACACTTTTCTTTTGCATCTCTGACACTCATAAGTTTCTTAACTCCAAGTTTCCTAGCTTCATAGTTGCAGGTAACCACCAAATATTTCTGCTGAACCCCTATAAAAAACAAATATTTAAAAAAAAAACAAATATTTTATGATAAAATTAAGTAGAATTGAAAATTAAAATTTACTTATTCCATATTGTAATTTTAAGTTATAATACAATATTTTGATAAGAATAAAAAGCTCTATCTCAGTTAGAAAATATAGCTTCCATCCATCATAGTTCTATGAAGTACAATTTAACAAATCAGGGGCTTCCCTGGTGGCTCAGATAACATAGAATCTACCTGCAATCTGGGAGACCGGGTTCAAACCTTGAATTGGGAAGATCTCCTGGAGAAAAGAATGGCTACCCACTCCAGTATTCTTGCCTGGAGAATTCCATGAACAGAGAAGCCTGGTGGGCTACAGTCCAGGCAGTTGCCAAGAGTCAGATATGACTAAGCAACTAACACTTTCACTTTCACCACAAATCAACAACTCTATGAAATCTTCAGCAAAAAGATACAAATAAAATCCTTCCAGGATTTTTTTCAAACAATAAAAAACCAAATTATATTGAATTAACTCTATGTAACTTTACATATAACTCTAGGCCTTGTTTTACCAAAAGTAAGGCAGATGAAAGTAACTGAGTACAATTAACTACTGGTCACTGCTGGAAAATCTAACTTGTCTTCTGAATAACTTCCCAGTTAATATAAAGCTATGTTCTGTTACAGGTGCCAACCTACAGCAGTTTTTAGGAATCTCCCCCAGTAAATGTTCTAATGACTGAGCTTTTCTTCACAGTAACCTACAGAAAAGATTAGACAGTGAAGTGGCATAATGAGCCCGCTCCTTATCAAAAAGATTAAATATGATCACCTACACCCTGCTTAAAAATTCTAATGTACCAGTGACTCATACTTGCTAAAACTATTTGCTTTTTTCTAAAATTCTCATATTATAAACAGGCAAAGAAACATTTCATATATTTTTGATATGTCAGATGATGCCCCAAAACAGAATCACGGGGTCAAAAATAATAAATTATGATTCATCAGTAAACTACATAAAAAAATCAGGTTAGTCACTTCCTTAACTAAAAAAATCAGCCTTTTAAAGCAGGATTATATGGACTCACCACTGAGTCACCAGCCCAAGTTAAGCAGTCATATAATTTGCTAATGGTGGCTCAGCAGTAAAGAATCCACCTGCAAGGCAGGAGACTCGCGCTCGATCTCTGGGTTGGGAAGATCTCCTGAAGAAGGCAACCCACTCCAGTCTTCTTGCCTATTGAATCTCATGGAAAGAGGAGCCTGGCAAGCTACGGTCCGTGGAGTCACAAAAGAGTTGGATATGACTTATCAACTGAACAAATTAAAATGCAGTAATGAATGATTACCAGGAAATAAGGGATATTATGCTAACAGTTTCTAGAAGAAAACAACATAGCCTTTCATTTTATTAGCAAATATTGTTGTTGTTTAGTCATTAAGTCTTGTCCAACTCTTTTAGGACCCTGTGGACTATAGCCCACCAGATTCCTCTGTCCATGGGATTTCCCAGGCAAGAATATTGGGAGTGGTAGCCATTTCCTTCTCCAGGGAGCTTCCTGACCCAAGGATCAAACTCACTTCTCCCACATTGGCAGGCGGTGGATTCTTTACCACTGAGCCAACAGGGAAGCTGGCATCTTAATTTTACAATCCCTCTTTACTAATCATTACTTATACAACATCTTCTTACAATGCTACTAATTAGAAATGCTTAGTGAAGAAAATTCAGGTCCCCTAATCCCAACTCCTTGACAGCTTCAGGAAATTTTAAAGACCCTAGACCTTGGCAAACCAAAATGTACTCATCAGTCATCCTCTGTTCCTTAGTAAACTAGGCTGAGCTGAATTGGGCTTTATCAAAATCAAAGTAGACACAAGGGGGTGGCAGCAAGTGACCAAAACTTCTGTTTATGCTTTTACTCAAAGGTAAATTCTTACTACATGCATAACATAAAATTTTAGAAATTTACTTTTCTAATGTAAAAACAAAATATAAAAATAAGCCAACACAATACTCGGTAACTCCCTAATGTAAAATTTCTTTGCTTTTTATTTTAAAACATACTTATGTTTTCATGAAAAGCTTGTACTATGCATGCCTTATTATTTTGGGTTGTTCAAAATCCAATTATTTTGTCACACAAAATCCAACTATCACACAATTCAATAGTTAATTTCAAAAGTGGGAGAATAGTTGAAAATGTCTATTAAACATTTTTTTAAAGGCTGTTTTTGAGATAAGATGGCTGTAAAATTTCAAACATTGAGAAAAATACTAGAAGTTTATTGTGGTCTTTCTGTTTATTTGGTTAATTATACTACTTCTGTCAAATTTGCCTTTTAGTAAATGAGGCTCATAAAGTTTATAGCCAGTAGCGAAATAAAGATTACTGTCTATAAAGCATCACAAAACTGCTTCCAACATTAATATGACTAATAGAATAAACATAATAACAAATCATATCACACAATGAAAATAATATCAAAGTCCAGAATTACCTAAAGGTTTGTCCTTTAGTTCTGGATTGGAGATCATTTCTACTTGTGCGTAAAAGCAATCCAGATCCACGTGTACTATGACTCTACATGAAGAACTTCCTGCTGGCTCCAGCTCATCATGAACTGTGGCACAATATGCAACCAAATGAAAGAAACACATTCATGCTGTTTATCATCTCTGAGCAACTGCCAGTCCCTTAAAACATGGCAACCAAGAAAGAATAGGGTGATTTTTAAGTTTTTTTCCCCCTGGATTTATTACATGTGTCAAACAATCTAAAACTTACAAGGATATGAGAGAAACTCCACCCACAGTAGAGTCCTCAGTCCTGTTTACTATTTCTTTGTGAATTGTATTTTTCTCGGGATAGCAATAAATTTTAAGAAAAAAAATTTTATCAATAATGGAAGATGCAAGAGGTAATCCTAGGACTTTGAAGCTTATTGGAAAATTTAAAGTAAGTCGGAAAGGGCTGAAAAGTTTAAACACACACATCTTCCAACCAACTTAAAAGTTATCCTTCCCTGGTGGCTCCTTCTAAGATTTTAACCTGCCAACGCAGGAGACATGGGATCAAACCCCGGGTGGGAAAGAGCCCCTGGAGGAGGAAACGGCAACCCGCTCCAGTATTCTTGCCTGCAGAATTCCATGGACAGAGGAGCCTGGTGGGCTACAGTCCATTCCATGCAGTTACAAAAGAGTCAGACATGACTTAGCGACTAAACAACAAAAAATTATTCTAAGTGGCATGTCCTTAAAAAAATAACCTGAAAGACAAAACAGCAGACAGACTCTATGAGATCAGGATTGTTTGGTTCAATGCTGAATACTGGATACCTAGACTACCAACAAATATTTGCTAAATTTAAAGATTGAGTAAATATTTCCTGGATTTTAAAAAGTAGTTCACATCTTGGAGGGGGCAGAGGGATAAGACAGGAGATTTCAGCTATTAACAGCAGTTAAAAACAAGGCAGGCTAAACGCCATGTGGTATTCTGGTTTGGAGTTTGGAACAGAAACAAATTAAATGGAAAAAAAAAAAAACAACCCTGGTAAAATCTGAATAAAGCTTGTCCTTCCGTTAAGAATATTAATTACTATGCCAACGTTACTTCCTTTTGACAAATGTATCCATGGTGACGTAAGACATTAAAATTGGTAAAAAGTTATCTGTGCATCTCTCTGTAAACCTAGAAGTATTTAAAAATTTTAAAGCTTTTTAAAAACGAAGGGTGGGGAGGCTGGGAAGGAGAGAGCCTTGGTCCCAAATCCCGGGGGCGGGGCCCCGAGGCTGAAAGCGGGTCAGCAGAGGCGGCCACAAGCACACGTGCCGGCCGGGTTCGGTTCCGAGCCGGGCGGTCCCTTCCGGGCTGAGGCCGGGCCGCAACCTCTGCCAAGTGGGCGACACGGTTCCCGCTTCCGCAACCCTGAGGCACCCGAAGCCCCTTCCGCTTTCGCGGGGCTGTTTGAGGGGAGACGAGCGCAGCTTCCATTACCCCACTGGACGCGCCCGGCCTTCCCTACTGGGCGAAGCCGCCCCTCTCGGGGACCTTGGCCTCAGGACACCACGCGGCGAAGGGCCGCTCTCTCGGCGGAGGGGGAAGACACGGGACGCGGGCGGGGCAGGGACGGTCGCTCCCCAACGGCCGCCGCCGCCGCCGCCGCCCGGGGCGCCCGCCCTCGTCGCCCCGCCCCGCCTCATTTACACCAAGGGAGGTCGTCGAGCTCGTCAGGCTCCAGCGCCCCCGGGCAGCCGCCGGGCGCCCCCGCCTCCGCCCGCTCCATGGCCCGAGTCGCGTCCTCTTCCGCCAGCCTCCCCGGGCTCCGCCCCCCGCCCCTCCATTTCCCTCCCCCCTCCGCCCCCCGGCGACCGCCCACCGAAAGGCAGCTTCCGGCCTCGGCAGCCCGCGCTGCGTTCGGAGCCGGGGGCTCGCGCCTGCGCAGTGTGCGCCCAGCCGTGGGCTGCCCGGACGGTGACTGCGGCCGCAAATCCTCTTGACCGGTGTTTGGGGCTTCCCTCCTGCGTAGCCTTGAAGGAGTGTTTACTATCCCAGACGGCACTTTTTTCTCCCCCTTGCGGTCTTCGAAGTTACAAGTTCTTGTCAAAAGTTTTAAATGTTTATTTTTGTGTAGAAGGCAGCTTGTTCTCCCGGTCAACTGTTAGAAATGCTAACCCGGAGATGAAATTTTATGGGGATGGGGGTGGGGGAAACGATGGAAATTATGGTGAGAGCAAGGCGACCTTGTAAACTAATATGATTGTCTTAGTTGCTCAGTCGTGTCCGACTCTTCATGATCGCATGGTCTGTAGCCCACCAGGCTCCTCTGTCCATGGGATTCTCTGGGCAAGAATACTGGAGTGGGTTGCCATTTCCTTCTCCGACTAATATGATTAGCTATTATGTTAAAATTTGCATTTTGTTGTTTGACTCAAAGATACTGTAATATAAAGATACTATATTTAAAGTGGAAAACTTAACAAGGACCTACAATATAACACAGGGAGCTCTGCTCACTGTTAAGTGGCAGCCGGAATGGGAGGAGAGTTCGGGGGAGAATCCGTGTATAGGTGTGGCTGAGTCCCTTCGCTGTTCACCTGAAACTGTCGCAACGTTGTTAATGGTCCACGTGCCTGTGTGCTAAGTCCCTTCAGCCAGCTGATTGTTTGCCACCCTATGAATTGTAGCTGACCAGGCTCCTCTGTCCATGGGATTCTCCAGGCAAGAATATTGGAGTGGGTTTGACAGTTCCTTCTCCAGGGGATCTTCCCAACCCAGGGATCAAACCCACATCTCTCAGGTCTTGTGCATGGACAGGCAGGTTCTTTACCACTCAGTTCAGTTCAGTTTGGTCAGTCAAGTCCCACTCTTTTTGCAACCCCATGAACTGCGGCACACCAGGCTTCCCTGTCCTTCAGCACTCCCAGAGCTTGCTCAGACTCATGTCCATAGAGTCGGTGATGCCATCCAACCATCTCAACCTCTGTTGTCCCCTTCTCCTCCTGCCTTCAATATTTCCCAACATCAGGGTCTTTTCCAGTGAGTCAGCTCTTCCCATCAGGTGGCCAAAGTATTGGAGTTTCAGCTTCAGCATCAGTCCTTCCAATGAATATTCAGTACTGATTTCCCTTAGGATTGACTGGTTTGATCTCCTTGAAGCCCAAGGAACTCTCAAGTGTCTTCTCCAACACCATGGTTCAAAAGCATCAATTATTCAACACTCAGCTTTTATTCAGAAAACTAAGATCATTGGCATCCAGCCCCATCACTTCATGGCAAACAGATGGGGAAACTGTGGAAACAGTGGCTGACTTTATTTTGGGGGGCTCCAAAATCACTGCAGATGGTGATTGCAGCCATGAAATTAAAAGACGCTTACTTTTTGGAAGGAAAGTTATGACCAACCTAGACAGCATATTAAAAAGCAGAGACATTACTTTGCCAACAAAGGTCCGTCTAGTCAAGGCTATGGTTTTTCCAGTGGTCATGTATGGATGTGAGAGTTGGACCATACAGAAAACTGAGCACCGAAGAATTGATGTTTTTGAACTGTGGTATTGGAGAAGACTCTTGAGAGTCCCTTGGACTGCAAGGAGATCCAACCAGTCCATCCTAAAGGAGATCAGTCCTGGGTATTCATTGGAAGGACTGATGTTGGGGCTGAAACTCCAATACTTTGGCCACCTGATTCAAAGAGCTGACTCATTTGAAAAGACCCTGATGCTGGGAAAGATTGAGGGCAGGAGGAGAAGGGGACGACAAAGAATGAGATGGTTGGATGGCATCACTGACGAAATAGACATGGGTTTGGGTAGACTCCGGCAGTTGGTGATGGACAGGAAGGCCTGGTGTGCTGCGGTTCATGGGGGTCGCAAAGAATCGGACACGGCTGAGTGACTGAACTGAACTGACTGAACATATGCTTTAATATTCCAATGAATGTAAAACACTTGGGTCATGGAACAATAGAAGGTGCTCAACAAATGTTCATTCTCTGTGCCTTTTGTTGAGATGCCTTATGTTCCTGTGTGTGTTTCTTCCAATAGAGAAAATGTGTGTGTGTGTACATATATATGTATATTCACACAATTATTTTGATTTTTTTTACAAGAGTCTCTCTTATAAATAGGAGGTGAAAACTTTGAGAAACCCATTAAAGGACATGCTGATGCATCCCGTAAAGAAGAAGAAATAACAGGCAGAGCTGGGGCTCAGTGGTTGTAGTATTAAGACCAAGTCTTCCTTTTTGGGGTTTTACTCTTAGACCTGTGGACCAGTTTCCTATAAGTCTCCAGTATAGGATCACATATACCAACTTAAAACTATGCTGCTTTCTGTGTGATTGCCGTTTCTTAAGTCTAGATAAAGTGCTTTTGAATTGAGTAGCTCTTTGGCCACTTACTACCTCTTTGGCTATCATCAAGGGTACAATTGTAGACAACTAAGATGCATGTGTGTGCTCAGCTGCTCAGTCATGTCCAACCATTTTGCGACCCTATTTACAGTAGCCCACCAGGCTCCTCTGTCCATGGGATTTTCCAGGCAAGAATACTGGAGTAGGTTGCCATTTCCTTCTCCAAGGGATCTTCCCAACCCAGGGATCGAACTTGTGTCCTCTGTGTCTTCCTGCATTGGCAGGCAGATTCTTTACCACTGAGTCACCTAGGAAGCCTGAACATCTAAGGTATTTTGTTGTAATTTCTCCATGTTGAGAACAATGCAAACCAGAGAAATACTATGCCAGATTAAAATAGTTCCTTTATAAGAGCCCTAGGCTCACTTAACACTCAACAGCTTGACTAACTGTGAAGAAGCATTGAAAAACGACACCCATAATCAAACCCTGTTTGGTTAGTTGAATATATGTCCCTCTGAATTGTGAAATTGAAGAGTGACTTTTAATTTAGTAGAAGAAAAGACAAATGGAATCTTAAAAGCCTAGGGGAGTGAGCTGGGCTCACTTTGTGAGTGTATTACGACCTTTGTAATAACACAGAGCCCCAGTCTTAGAAGGGCCTGTCACTTGGTTTAGGTTGGCCCATCACTTGTTCTGCTGTTTCTGTCTTGAAATTCTTAATTTTTGAACAAGGGAGCCCTCATTTCCATGTTGCACTGGACCTCAATTATTTAGCCAGTGCTGGGAACAAAGGAGGGAAGCAGCATAGAAATCGATGTTTATAAAACACTTGTGTGTCAGGCATAAGCCCAGCAGCATAAAAGCATAAAATTCAATTTGCCTTGGAGGGTGGGTATCATCAGTTTCATTTTACCAAAGATGAAACAGGCCAGCAGAAACTAAGATGCTTACTCAAGGTTATGCTTCTAGTAATGGTAAATCCACTTTCCAGAGTTTTCCATGGAGAAGAATTTAATGAGAATGTTTCTTCCACCAAAGAAACATTTTCTGCCCATTTTTCTTGGTGCTTCCTTGGCCAGTTTGTATTCTTTTTTCCATCCCTTCCCAACTTGCCATCTGCTGGTCAACATTGTACTTTGCATTTTCTAGAATTTCATATAAAGGGAAATTCTCTAGTTACTTTTATATGGCTGTTTTCACTAAGTGCATAGATATATTTAGTGCTATTCATGTGTGTGCAAAAGCATGGCGTTAAATAAGAATAAGTAAGGCCCTGTCAGGTATTAGAGCTGCGTTGTTTATAAGCAAATGTCCTTTTATGTACTGACAATCACTGAGAAAAAGAGTTGTTTAAAGTGAGAAGTGAAATTGCAACTAAGTAAATTGAAATTGTTTCATATCGATTCATCATCAATAAGAGAAGTTTGAACCATCTGCCTCATTAAAAAGAAAAACCCACCAGACAACTTGGGTATATTAGGAGGCATAAAATAAAATTTACTTAAGCTAATATGTGTTACTTTGTTGTGGGATGAATTAGGGAAAGCTTTTCTTTTTTTTAATCGATAAATTCCTTCCCCCAGTTTTAATTCACTGGCCCTAAGATCATTTCCAGAAATAAACATTTTGAGCATGAATCATAACTGTGTATTTAAGTGTCAAATAAGAAAAACAATTGCAAAGCAGAATAAACATTTAATTAAAGAAAATTATGTTTAATATTCACGGGGGAGCATGGGTTTTGCAGAATGTGGGTAATGGATAAAGAAACTGGGGTCATTCACAAGCATTTGGAGTCAAGACATTATGAATTGACAGACATTAAAAGTGACGAGCACGTGGACTTCCCTGGTGGTCCAGTGGCTAAGAATCCGCCTGCCAGTGCAGAGGACACAGGTTCCATCCCTGGTCCAGGAAGTCTCCACACGCCACGGGGCAACGAGCACAGCTACTGAACCCTCAGGCCACAACTACTCAAGTCCACGTGCCTAGAGTCTGTGTGCCACAGCAAGAGATGCCGCCGCGCAGAGAAGCTTGTCACAGCAACTAGAGAGCAGCCCCACTCAAGTCCGGGTGCAGCCGCAAAGATCCAGCACAGTCCAACCAAACAGTGACAGGCATGCAAGTCCACATCAGGGAAGCCTGGGAAAATTACCAGCGCCTGCTTCTCACCTTCCAGCCAAACCGGCCACGTATGAATCAGAGGAAGAACTCTAGACGACGTTCAAAGGCTTTGCCGTGAAGAGTGTGAGGGCGTTTATGAGTGTCTATGTTTTATGCCAGTGGTGACTAGGTAAGTAGAGGTTAACTGTAGGGCCAGAGAGACAATTTGACTTGGCGAGAGCCAAGGGCCTTGTTTTGTAGCCTTTGACTTTGTGCAGTGCTTCTCACTACAGTGATTTTGTCCCCTGGAAAATATTTGGCAATAT